GAACAATAACATTACTGAGTAGAGCACACTGTTTGTGTGCAATTCCTTTAGTTTTTAGTTTTCTAGACTCACTTTCAAAATCATTTGGATCCACACCTTTGGCTTCACCCACTTCAGTGAGGTTGTTTCATCCATTTTACGTCAGTTAGATTCTTTTGTTATAGTGAACATTTAATTCTAAGATCCCAGGAACTCTTACATGATAATTAAAAGTTTTTCATATATTAAAGTTAACTCTTTGTTCTGTAAAGATTTTAACAATGCTAGTGTCATGTATCTAACATTACAGTATCATAAAGAATGGTTTCACTATTAAAAAAATAATTACTGGGCTTCGTCTATTCAGCTGTTCTCCCCATTGCTCACAGCCATACCCTGAACAGTGAACTTGTTATTTTCTTTCAAGTCTTGTCTTTTCTAATAAGTTATATAAATGGAATCATAAAGGACGTAGGCTTTTAAGCCTGGCTTTTTCACTTAGAAATAAGTACTGAAGATTCCTTTATGTTTGGTCATAGCATGATCTTTATCACTAAATAGTATTCAATTATATGAATTATACACCAGTTTGTTTATCCACTCATCTATTGAAGGGCATCTTGGTTGCTTCCACTTTTGGGTAATTATAAATAAAGCAACTATAACTTTACATACAAGTTTTTGTATGGAGATAAGTTTTGAATCACTTGGGTAAATAAAAGAGCACTTGCTAGATCACATGGTATTATGTTTGGCTTTGTCAGATACTGTCAAACTGTCTTCCAAATTGGTTATACCGTCTTGTAGCAGCAATTAATGAGAGCTCCTGTTGCGCCACATCCTTGGCAGAATTTGGTGATTTCCTTGTTTTGGATACTAGCCATTCTAATAGTTGTGTAGCGGTATGTCATTGCTTTAATTTGCAGTTTTCTAAAGACATATAATGTAGAGCATCTTTTCATATGCTTATTTGCCATCTGTACAGCTTTTTTGACTAGATGAGTGGTCACATCTTTTGCCTATATTATGTTGGGTTGTTTGTTTTCTTATTGTTGATTGTAAAGATTTTTTTGCATATTTTAGATACAAATTACTTATCAGATGTTTGTTTTGTGAATATTTTCTCTCAAATGTGGCTTATCTTTTAATTCTCTTACCAATGTGTTTCACAAAGCATAAGTTTTTAATTTTCATAAAATCCAGCCTATCAATTTTTTCTTTAGTGAATCATACTTTGATATTTTATGTAAATCACAGTAACCAACCCAAAGTCTTACAAATTTTCTCCTATGAGTTCTTTGAGAAATTCTATAGTTTTTTATTTTACATTTAGTCTATGATCCATTTTGAGATAATTTTGGTGAAGGTGTAACATCTAGGTCTAGGTTTTTTGTTTGTTTGTTTTTGCATATGGTCACCCAGTTATTCCAGCACTCTTTGTTTAATATACTATACTTTTTCTATTGAGTTGTCTTTTCTCCTTTGACAAAAATCTGTTGACTAATTTCTGTGGATGTATTTCTGGGATCTCATATTGTATCATTTATCTATTTGTCTCTGGTCCTGCCACATTGCACTGGGGAGAGGTTGGGGCAAGGGCGAATGAAATGCTATGAAGTTTCCCACCAGTTTTTCTGTGGCTATTTCTTGATTAGGCATTTGCTTAGCTGCTGCAGCTTTTTACCTGGTTTCTAGACTTCTCACAAAGATGTTTAGATCCACACGTCACTGTTTATTCAGTGTTTCTGTGGAAGAACAAGGGTTTGGAAGTTTTCTGTCCACCATCTTGCAGATGTTAAACCTACAAAATGTCTCTTGTGCACAGTCCAATTTTTAGTAGGTATATACAGAACTATGACACTTATAATATTCTGAAAAATTCAAATGTGTATTAATTTTTTTATAGAGTGGTGTATGTTTTCGTGAATGTGCATATTTAGCTAAATTTGAAAAATTTTAGCTTATATATTTACTTAGCTGACTTCCTAAAATGCATACTTAGCTAAATTTGCAACATTTCAGTATGTATATTTGCTTATTTCCTGAATTAATAGAATAAAATTAAAATAATAGTTATAAGGAACACACTGATTAACTCATTTGTCCTCTCTACAAACCTGTAAGGTAAAAAACTATCATTATACTCATTTTACAGGTAGATAACTGCAACACAGATGAGTTAAGTGACTTACTGATACACACAGCTAGTCCACGGCAGAGATGGGATTCAAACCCAAGCGGTCTGGTTCCCAATCCGATGCTCTTAAACACCCTATCGCATGGCTTTGGTGGAAAATCTCCAGGAGATGGTCTTTCAAGAGTCTCTTGTAATGGCTTGAAAGTCATATAGCATCAGAGGCTTATGCAAACCACAATATCCTGAAATTCACTGATAATGGAGAATCAAGACTTACTTCTCGCCAAAGCTAACAACTGTTTTTGCTGTATGGGAAAATAGTATTGTGAAAATTGAGTACACATTCCATAGAAATGTTCTAAGTCTGATGTTCCAAGTACTAGAAATACAAAATGCCTTGTAGAGAGAGAAAAGGCTCTATAACATTACACTAGTGATGTCTTACCCACGATGTCTAAAAAGATTTAAATGCTGACTGCCATAATTTTGCCAGTATAAATATGATCTCTGTGTCTTATTCACAACTTATAAGACAAGTTTAAAGATAGAGATATTTACCTTATTTTGTATCTTCCATTACTCTTAGGTGAGTATTAAAGAATGCAGTGACAAATGCGAACTGACTGAAAGATGAAGAAAATTGGCTAAGTCTGTTATTCTCCTAATGTTAGCAACCTGACACTTTTTCACTTTGGGTTCAGATAAAGCCAAAAATTTCATGGGGCTGGACCGGTGGCTTAGTGGTTGAGTTTGCGCACTCCACTTTGGCGGCCTGGGGTTTGCAGTTTCAGATTCCAGGCACAGACCTACATACTGCTCATCAAGCCATGCTTTGGTGGCATCCCACATACAAAGTAGAGGAAGATTGGCATGGATATTGGCTTAGGGACAATCTTCCTCAAGCAAAAAGAGGAAGAATGGCAACGGATGTTAGCTCAGGGCCAATCTTCCTCACCTCCCCCCCAAAAAAATTTCTTTCAGTTACATGTAAGATTTATATTTGAAGAATACCAAAATTTTTTAAAATGTTACTGTGTTCCAAATGCTTTCACACAATACTAAGCTATTTGAATTGATTAAGTTGTTTTTCATAAAGTAATCAACACTGCTAACATATTAACACTCTCTCTAAGAGAGAACATTCCTGGGGTAGCCATATATATTTCATAGATTTTTCTCTGCTGCTACTGAAGTCCTTGAAATTTTTTAAAAATATATTTAGGTAAATATTTTCTGGTTTATGAAAAAGCACACTAAGTAGATGAGATATATATGCATTAAAATATAATATTTCAAATTGGAAACACATACAAATTGTTGAAAAGTCACCAAATAGAGATTATAGCATGATATCAAAATTATTTCCCCCAAACTCACCATCATATTCCTAAACATTATTATTTAGGATTAATATTTGCAAGAAGAATTCATTATAATCAACGAAATTTAGTTGAAATTAGAATGTTCCTATGGGGGTTCAAGGTAGCAGGTAATTCAAAACATTTATATTTATTAAATATTCTTATTTATTGACATAGTTTTCTTAAATTATCCCTGTTTCTAGCTTTCAATTATACATATACTACATAGTTAACAGAAAAAGTGACAGTATACCTTTGTGTGAAATTATTGATTTTAAATAGAATAATAGAGATAGTTAGAATTCTGTCTTATTTTCATTCTATCTCCTAAAAAAAGACAAGACAATGATGGCAAAAATTATTTGAAAGATATTGAGATCATTGATATAAATACAACACACACAGTAAATACATTATTATTTTGACTATTTTGGTTTATATGGAGTATTAAAAATAAACAAAAACTCCAATACATCAAAAATATTTTTTATTACGTTTATAGAGAATTATATATGGAAGGCTTCAATTTGCACAGTGACTGGCAGACAACAGGCATATCAGAGCTGTAGATACCTCTCTTTTTATAAATTAAAGCAGCACTTCACACACCTTTCACAGGGGAAGTCAGTCCGACACTAAGTGAGAAATTGTAATAAATCATTTCCTCCACACAGTTCCAACTCAAACATTATAATTCATTCCTTCCTTTCCTCCTTCCTTCTCTCTCTTTCTTTCTTCCTTTGATTTTTTCTTTGAATAATGGTTGTTATCACCTCAATTGGAACTAACTAACTGGTAGTAATTTAGCTATTTGGGTCATTTTTCTCTTTTCAGCACAATGAGGACAACTAGAGATTTGTTAATATCCCTCTAGAGCCAAAACCAAATAAACTCTACGTTAGCTCTAGTTTGTCTTAAGAAGTCCTTGGGGTTGATGTTGTACTAGGTAAGCTCCCCCAAATCTGTCAATATTATAATATTTCTCACCTGATCAAAGCTCATATCAAGTGCAAGTGATTTTTGAGTATGTAATAAAGAATAGAGTAAAACAGACAGTGAATATGTACATTCTAGGAGTTTGAATATGAGTTATATTCTAAGAGTAGAACATTAGCCTTTGCAAAGAACAGTTTGAAGCCCAGGGGTACTTGAACAGCCCCTAGGAGAGAATTGTCTCAATGAAGGAAAGATTCAACAATCTCCTCCCCAAATCTCCTCTGATCCTAGAAAGGATTAATTCCACCAAGGCATGAATGCTTTTTATTCTCTAAAAATTCCAGTTTGGAGCAGGGATAAAGAACTTATTACAAAACTATGCAGTCAATACAATAAGAGTTCTTTTTTTGATTGATAAAAATTTTGCTTTTCCATAATTTGTCTTCCTTCCTGTCTTCTGCAATTAAAAAGAGGTTAATGTCTTTTTTACAAAAGTTACTATTCTCCAGGGTAAACACATTCATTTGTTCTTGTGACATGATTTGAAGACTCTTCAATACCCAGTCACCATCTTCTTAATGTATTATAATTACGTTCATCTGGTGTAATAAAATAGTATGAACCTTTATGATGATGTGATTAAATGGGGAAATATATCAGGTTCATGAATAGAAAAACATGATACTATAAAAATGTCAAATTTATCAACATTAATTTTTTAATTCAATAAAATTATAATCCCAATATATGATTCTAAAATTGAGATTGAAGAATAAATGCCCAAAAAAACAATAAAAATTTTAAAGGAAGAGCAAATATATGGAACCAAATATTATCAGTTTCATAACTAAAATAATTTCTTAAAGCTCAGAAATAGACACAGACTTAATTGTATGTGTGTGAATATATATGCATAATATTATGCATTTTTATCTATATTAATATGATAAAAAAGTATTTCAAATCAGTGACAAAATAAAATATTCCTTCATATATAGTGTTAGAATATTGACTACTTAAAAATAAGCAGAATGGATCCCATTCAGACAAATAAATGTCAGAGTATATAAAAACATAAATATAAAAAATAAAAAGTAAATATATATAAATATATATGTAATATAAATATATAAAAATATGTATGTATATACATTTTTATAAAAAATATTAAAAGGAAATCATCCTAAGAAAGTCTAATTATGTTACATCAGTCCTTCAGGTAATGTCTTTGATCTTCTGACTTCTCAAGTTTTCATGGACTTTGTTACTGCAATTAAATTCTCGTGTGCTGGCTTATTACTTTCATTATAAAAATATGTCTCATGTCGTTTATCTTTAATACTCTCCCACGAGTCCCCAGTTCCTCAATTACTTCGTATTTCTTTTCTCCTGTTTAGAGTATAACATTTTAGAAGTTTTCGGGACGGCCATCTCCAATTCCTCAGCGTCCATTTTCTCTTCATCTCTTTTCAATCACACATCGTCCCATTTTCTGCTTTGAAATTGTTTCCTGGATGTGTCATTATTGCCGTATAGCTTGCCAAAAACTTTGGTCAAGACTCTGCCCTGATCATAAGCAGTTTCTCGGCAACGTTTGGTATGGTTGACCATTCTCCCTGGTCACTCCCTTTTCCACTTTTTCATGACCCACAGTCACTTTGTTTTCCTCCTAATATCTTGGCTTTCTTGATTTTCTTCCTCAGAACCTAAAATTTGACATGCCCCAAAACTTTACTCTCTGTTCTTTTATTTTCTTTTTGTACATTCTCTTCCTAGGGTATCTCATTCCGTCTCATGGTTTTAAATATCACATGTACACCTCAGACTTCCTGCTTGAATTTTGTATTTAGTTGTCTCAGGAATATTCCACTTAATATAACTCTTCATTCCATTCTACAAATATACTTTCCTTAGTCCTTCCATTTCCACAAATGGATCCACCACCCACTTATTGTCATGCCCCAAATTTAATAGTCATTCAGGATTCTCATCCTTCTTCTCATATTATATTCAAATCTGAAAATAAATCCTGCCTATTATGCCAGAAAAAACAATCTCTAAAGCTAGCTGTTCTTCCAGGATCTACAGCTAAAACGTAGTCTCAGGCACCAACTCACTCCTGGAGTGTTCCAAGATGAAACACAAAAACAGCTCTGAAAGCAAAGTTAACACAGTCTCTAAAAACATCGATGCTGAAGCCAGATGCCTGGATTCAAATACAGACTTCACCAGTCACTAACCGTGTTAGGTGACTCCATTCACATTCCGCTTCTTTGTGCCTGTGCCTCTGTGCCTTTGTTTCTTCATCCACAATATGGGGATAGTAATGGTGCCTATCTCTTTGGGTTGTTTTGGGTATTAAATGTATTAGTATATAAAAAAGTGTGTAGAACAGTATATATGTAGTACATGATTTTGTGCAATATAAATAGGAAAGTTCTCTAAATGTCATCACTTCAAAAATAACATCGCTATATCATAAAAGATCCATTAACCTAGTTAAAAACAAATTAACAAGAATAAAATTATAGGATACCAATAATTATAATAATGATATAATATTTAAGAGACTGTAGCATTCGAACAAAACAGAAAAAGGAATTCGAACAAAGAATCAGAATCCGACACTGGGATATATAGAGAGATGCCTGATTTATGAAAATAATGCAACAAATCTATTGGTTATCTGGACTTACCTTAGAAAGACTGAGCAATATAGGAAAAAAGCTTTGAAAAGAGACCTTGTTCTTTCCTCAGAAAAGCAATGGAAATAGTGTTTTAAAGAAATTATACTGGAGCCATTGGATATTCATGTTGAAAAGCATATCTTAGTTACTAACCAACAAAATATACAAAAAAATCAACTCCAGATGGATTTTATATCTAAATAAAATAAAATATCACTTTTGGAAGATAATACAAGGAAATATATTAATGCTAGTGAAGAAAATAAAGATTTCTTAACCTAGTTGAAAAAATATTAACCATAAAAGAAAATAATTAAATTTATTAAAATCAAGAAATTATATTCATCATAAAAAGCATAAAAATTAAGCAAGCCACCAAGTGAAGTGGGAGTGAATATTTACGTATATAAAATTGACAAAGAACTTACATCCATAGTATATAAAAAACTCAACAAACCAGTAAAAAAGGAAGACAAACCAATAAACATAGATGAATTACTAGAAAATGTACTTGACAAAAGAGTATACTTAAATTGGCAATAAATACATGAAAAAGGTGCTCAACTTCATTAAATATCAGGAGACTGCAATTATAATGTAATGTGCAATCTCTATACATCCTCCAGAGTGAATAAAAGGAAAGAGGCAGAAAATACGAAGTGTTTGGTGAATGTGGCAATATCTATTAAAGCCTTCCTATGACCCAGTGATTCCTCTCTTAGTATATATTTGTGCACTAAAACACTCTGAAATGCAAAAGAATTTCACAACAGCCTTATTTGCATTAGTCAAACATTGGAAACACAAATAACAACCATTTACTAAGAGAATACATAAATGAAAGGTGTGCTTCTTACAATGAACTAGTATACAGCAAAAAAAAATGATTTAAATACTTCACCTTGTCAATGTCTCAATCATAACATTGAAGGAAATAACTCATATCAAAGAATACATATGCATATGATTCCATTACATATCTTACAAACACAAACCAAAAAACTCAAAGATGGTTACCCTTGTGAAGATGAATGGTTATTAACTTCAAAAGAAATTTTGGGGTGTTGGTAATGTACTATTTCTTTTGGGAGGAGTTGGATACATGAGACTTAGTGGAAAATCATTGGCTGTACAATTAACACTATAGACATCCAGAAAAAAGTACATTTAAAAAATAAAATGAAGAGAGTAAATGGTAAATAAGTAATGGAAGACAGTGTGGGTGGAAAATTTTTGAATGTTTGGCTGAGAAAGTAAGCAAAGAAATAAAATTCTATCAGCTAGAGAGCGATGTGGGATCAGAGAAATGTTTTCTATTTTGTCTGAATTTATTTTAGAGACCGTATGTTAAAAATTGTTTATATGCAAAGCAAATCACTCATTAAAGTGAAAGGCTAATGATGCAAGAAAAAGATGTAGTAACAGGCCGAAGTCTCAGAAATTCAAGAGGGTATAGTATCCACAGATTGGCCTTTGAAAGAAGGAAGAACATTTTTTCAGTTGATGGAAACGAAGAGGATAATACATATAACTTATATAAATTAACATAAAATGTTTCTTACTAATAGAGGTTTTTAATTAAAAAAACATTTTTAACATATAAAAAGACTTTGGTATAAATTAACTCTGTCTTGAAACTCATTTCAATGAAATGATTCCCTGAGGTTTAAGTGTGCTTTTTTTAACTCAATTTCACACATGGGGGATGGTTTAAATGGAGTGGCTTCCAGGCAAGTACAAAACTGACCCATCCACGTGACTGAATTATTTATTCATATATGGCATCCCTCTATGGCAGTACATTTTCACTTGTTTATTTTTCCTTTTTATTCAAAGAGTTATCTATAGAACAGTGGTGTTTACTTTAAATATATTCTGACCTTCACTTATTTCCAAGGTTCTCACCTTTTCTTTCTAAGTTTCAACTTGAAATAAATGTAAGTTTCTCTGACATACTTAACCCACCTGTCAGTTACCTAATTCAATGGGTAGATTATTTTGTCATCCTCTCTTCTATGAGATACACTGATAAATTCCCATCTGACCATTCTGTACATTCCTTTATTATTCCAAATCATTATCTCATCCATATTCATCACTTTTCTGCCAAATCTCATTTTTTTTAATCTAAAGTTCACTCTTAACAGCCCACATTGTCAGCCAACTGGACTTGCAGGCTGGAAGACATATTTAAGTTTTGCCAAGTTTGATTTTAAACATTGCCTTAACACTTTTATCAAAACTTCCTAATACAAGTTATCTAGTGCCTTCTTGGTAAAGATGGAATTCTTTCTTCCTAATTAATCTCTACCTACACAACAAATTAATACTATTATCCGTATCTTAAAATACATATATTTTTCAATGTTTTATTTGAGAACTTTAACTTGAGCAAGACCTTTGTTTGGAATACTCATGCAGCAGTTTGGAAATATCACTCCAGAAATTTGGTTCCCAGTTTTCTGCATCCTCAGCTAAGGATCTCCTATAAAATTACCCGATAGCTCAATGTCTTCATATTTCATAAACTAGTGAAACCGGCAAACAGTTAGCCATTGATGATTAAGCAGCTAGTAACTATGGGGGTTTGGAATTGGCCACCTCAAAATATGTCTCTGCCTAAAAGACACTTTTGGCCTCCACCCCCACTAATTAACGAAATTTGGGATGGGAGGCCTGTCCCCAGAACAAGCCATGGCCATAGACATCTCCGGGTATCTGGGAGGGTCCTTGCTAAGCCCATTCTTAGTTCAGGTTACTCTTTCTAAGAAGGTGAGAACTTAAATCTGCATGGTAAACTTAACCATTGTCAACAGTGTTATTTAGGCAATGTGATACCTGACTCCCACTAAGTTTCTATAGACAACATCTCCCTGGAACCTGGGTCACCATGGTAATGGGTGTTTGAGCTATATTTTTCAGGAATTGGAACCCCTGTGTCTACTTCAGGCTGGTTGAGACCACCAACCCATCAACTGGCCCCACACAGACATATGTCCGATAAGCGACATTTTGACATCAAGAGGTTACAACTCCACCCTCGGGACATGCTAATGCTGCCATTCTGTGAACATGTGTTCTACAAAGAGGCATGAAGTCTGACTACGCTTGCATAGATCATCGATTACCTCATCTCTCCTCACCTCCAATCATTTCAGACCACCTTGCCCCTTACCCCATAAATATCCCTGAGTCCCTATTTGCAGGGAAGTGGATTTGAGATTCATTCTCCTGTTTCCACACTTGGCTAACTTGTGATTATTAAACCCTCTCTCTCTGCTGCAATCTCGTCATCATGGTGTTTGGCTTTCTGGGCAGTGGGCAAAATGGACCTGGTGTGGTAGCACCAGGACTTTCTCATACCTACAAAATAGCTCATGAGCAGTCAGTTTGTACAATTTGCTGTTGAAACTTGGCCTGTCCACTTGTAAGAATTTCAAAACAAACAGCATAACTAAGGGAAATTTAGTGTGTGTAGCTTTTCGAAAGGAAGGAAGAGCATGTGCCTCAACTCAGACAGAACCGCCAAAGAATCTGAAATTTAGGAAAAAATGCAAATACGTACCTCATTTTGTTGCACTTCACTTTATTGCACTCCACAGAACTACATTTTTCACAAGACCTTCCACCAGCAAAAAGATTATGACTCACTGAAGGTTCAGATGATGGTTAGGATTTTTTAGCAATAATGTATTTATAAATTAAGATGTGTACATCATTTTTTTAGACATAATGGTATTGCACACTTAATAGAATACAGTATAGTGTAAACATAGCTTTTATATGCACTGGGAAACCAAAAAAATTGTGCGACTTGCTTTATTGCAGTATTCGCTTTATTGCAGTGGTCTGGAGCTGAATCTGCAATATCTCTGAGGTATTCCTGTATTTGATGGAAAATGGTAGACATAGGTCACTTAGAAATCTTTTTCTAAGTCCTCTTTTCACAGTTGATGAAAGTGCCCCCAAAGTGGTGAAGTCACAGACTGTTAGTGGCAGAAGTAGGAACAGAAACATGATTCCTGGTAACCTTGCATGTTACATCTTGAGTATTTCATGTCTCCTTTTTCCTCTTTCCTTCACTTTCTTTTTTCTTGGTCATTCACTTCTTCAGTTTCAAGCTCTGGGTAGTGCGTAGTATTTTCTTTCATACTTGCACATTTCCTCTCTTTTTCCTGCAAATGAACAAGAGTAATAATCACAAATGGAGTACCTGTGAACATTTACACAAAGAGGGGTGCTCTGATAAACAGCCTTTTGATTTCCTAAATTCTCTCTGAAATTCATTAGACTGGGGAGGGAGGACAAAACAAAGCGAAAAGTAAAACAAAACTTTGCCTAAAGTATTAATCTCAGGTTGATGCTGATTTGAAAAAAGAAGTTCTATAGTTTGGGCCTCAAGAAGAGTTAGATGAAATAATATGAACTGCTTGTGTAATAAGCATAGACAGGAAAGTCATACATTTCAAGGATTGCTCTTAAAATAAGCAATAAAGAATTAAATTTAAATCCCTATGCACAGGGTTTTGTGCCATTTTGAGGGAGAATTAATATAAAATTATTTTTTGTTACCATTGTAAATGGAGAAATGTAAAAGTAACGTGGCTGACTTAGTTTAAATGTACGGACTCCTGAGGAGCTGATGTTGTAGAACATGTTAACCCAGTTATTTTGTAACTACATTAAATTATCACTAGCTTTCCAATTCCGGGACACTCAGGGCCGTGTGGCAATGAAGACAAGGCTGTCAATCTGAATAAAAGCAAATTCAGATGAATGAGAGAGCAAGAAATGCATAATATTTTATCTTAACTATTGTGATCAAAATATTCTCCTAGGTCCATTGTATACATACTTTAATTACTCTTTAATGCATATTTAAAATGTTTAAAGCCTTCCCAGCAATTTCTATGAGAACCCAAAGCAGTTCGCACTTTAAAATCTTTTATACAATTTTTGAACAAAAAATAACTGACTGAAAAATATATAATGAATTTTGACATTAGTGATTAAAAATATATCACTCAATGGGAAATGGACATAGCTAAATATGCTAATTAAGTCTGATTATTAAGCAAATTAAAATAAATTCAGACTTCAAAGTATTTGGACATGAAAGTATTTTTCTGGGCTTTTAAATTATAATTTACATATTAAATTATTCTAATTAATAATTTATAATTTGTATAAGAGCCTTGGAGGGGAAAGAGATTGAATAGTTTTATTTTCAACACACACACACCTACGCACACATTATACATATATGACATCAGTATATACATTTTAAGTATATACAAGTAAATATATGTATTATTTGCATGCTTATAATATTTAGACATAAATATTATATATGTTACCATATATATATAAAAATACTATAAAATGTTGTTTTTCTACCTGGTGGCTAAATATAGTTATATTTGTATTGGTTCTAAGATATAAAAGTAAACAAATTAGGAAAATACTAGAAATATATATCAATAATTAAAGTTTTAGAGTAGAAATATTTTTTCAGATGCAAAGCAGTGTGTGGGCCAAAGTGGAAAACTGAAAATATTTGTAGCATACAAAATTTAATTTGAAGAAGCAGGAAGGTTTTCTGACAGTTGACTTTTTAAATAATTTCTGGAAAATTTAGTCCCTCAATCTACTTTACTTTGGTTGTTTTTGTGTTTTTAGGTTAAGTTTTCTTATATATAATTTCCTGTACTTCTCATAGAACCTATTTTCCTTATCTCAGTATACTAGCTACAACTAGTCAATGCTTACTCAGCTTAGTGAACACAGTTTATTCAGAGAAAGAAACTCACCCAGAGTGATATACAAAGAAAATATCAGTATTTGGATATTTCTGATTTCACTTTGATGATTTGGGTTTGTAGGGTTCATCAAATATCATTCCTTTGAAGCAAATGGAAGGGATAATTCTTTGCTCTATTCCTATGAGGCTGCTTTGGAAAGCCTGTTGGGGGTTGAAGGTGAATCTGTATGTTCAAGGAGTAACCTCAATGGTGCTTTCCTTCTTGTGCACAGTTTTCAGATGCAAAGAAGCCATTGGTTGTCTGGCCTTTCCTTAGAGAGACTGAAAAAAACAGAAGAAAAGCCTTGTCAAAAGACCTTGTTGCTGCCTCAGAAACTCATTATCACATGTCCTTAGGCAAGGCCACTAGCATCTTTCTACCACAGACTCTACCTGAATATGCAGAGATAAGACTACCTAATCCTCTAGGTGCATCTCTACAGAATGGTGTTTTCTCAATCCAGAAGCACAGACCAGGAGCAAGATGTTGTCTATGAGCTCCTCCCCATGTGCCCATCACAGCTCGTGGGGCAATAAAACTTGTTATCTGAGAAATTAAATCAATTTTAAGAGTAGAGGAAAGGCTCTTCATACACTTGATCTTCTTGTGATCATTTCTGTCACCTTGATATCAAACCTGAAGTGAGTTCACTCACCCGTCATGCAGCAAGCCAATCTCTGACACCGGGTGTAGTGGAAGAAAGTGGGAATTTTTATTGCAAAGCACTGAGCAAGGGGAACAGGCAGCTCACACTGTAATCCTGTACCCCCCAAAAAGTTACAAGCGAGGGTTTTTAAACGGGAGATCAAAGGAGAGAAGCTGCAGTGGTCATGACCACAGGCATCCAGGAAAGCAATTGTGCAAGAGTCCAAGCAGACATTCTGGCCTAGAGTCAGTTGTTATGTTTATCTACAGCAGGAGGCTCAGGGCTCCATTGATCAATCTTTCCGTGTCACCCAAAATTGGGCCCTGAGGAGAGGAAGGAACCTGCCACCAGTTAAGGATTAAAAAGTTTACAAGGTTTTAGATATGGGAGGGGGAGCTGTGGCTTTGCAGCTCGGTGTCCTCCCACCAGCCTGCATTTGGCCAAGGTAAGGGAAGCTGCAGGTGTCCTCGGTTGTCTGCCTCTGTGATGAATGTGAATTTCAGTGCCCGGAAGCCAAGGAGTCGGGGAAGCTGCAGCTTCTTGATCATCTCTGGATATCAGTTTCCCTGTAACAAGGCTTCAAAGGACCAAACTTCAGGGTGAGCCCCAGCACAAGGCCACCCGGGCTTTAACAATTTGTTATTTCCATTTGCCTTGTGGAATTCAGGGATACAAAGGTTAAAACAAGCAATATCTACATGTGAATGCAACTTAGAGGAGCAGGGAAAGGAGATGAGTGCTTTTGGTTTTAACCCCATATGTGCTGGGTTTAATGTAGGGGAACTGATATCAGGGCCAGCATCAGCCTCAGTAAATCCTGCCTTTCAGAATTTTCTAGTGCATTCTAGACTTCTCTCAGATATCATCAACATCCAGGTCCCCTTTTAGGTTTTTTAATTTGTTTATCAGATTTGTACCCACATCATGCTCTACTGACCTGCTATTAGGTAGAGGCAGTGGTGTGATGATTCTGCTTATGGAACAGAGTATAGTGCAAAATGAATGCATTGATCATAGCAGAAGGAAAGAATGGGACCTTTAAACAAGGTTTTAAATTCTCTCTTAAAATGTCTAAGATTAGGTGTATTTAACACAGCATAAATCAAGTTACCTCAAAGATCTCCTTCAGGGTCTATATAAGAAATTCCTAATTTCCTATTCACATAAAAGATTCAATTTTTTAGGACTTACGAATTTGTTACCTTTTGTATTCTAAGTTGCTTTGCACTTTTCTGGCTCTCTTTGCATCACAGAGCATGCCACATTAACTTGCCAATGAAAAGTGAATGCCCAATTTACATTGCTATTATCTTTAGGAAGGGGAGAGGGGAGCAAGCAGAAAGGAAGAAATCAGTATACTTGATTAAATTTGGCTGTTTTTTTTGATAACCACAAAAAAACAGCACCTGAATTTCATTCAACTTAAATCCATTACAATTGCATGAACATTTGAGTTATAGTTTTCATGGTACTTTCTGGCATATATTATATACTTGTAGAATGTTTATTTCATATTCTGTAAGCTATAATTAATGTCATTTTTAAAGTAAAAAAATCTAAGATTGAGGGAGGGCAAGTGAAGTTTACAGGTAAAATTTTACAAGATGCAGAACTAATAAGTGACTAAGTCATGACCCAAACTCAAGTCTTCCAGTGTCACCTGCAGATTTTCTTTAAAATAGAATATTGTTTTATAATAATCCACCACAGTTGGATGAAGGAATGACAACGAAAATGCGGTCCATGCCTAACTACCGGCTATGAAGAATTTTACCTCCCCTCAAATCTGCGAGAACTGTAAATTTTGTGTAAGATAGTAAACTGAATTAAGAGAATTACTGAGTAATTCTGAATTACTAATCAAGAATTAGTATGTGCGTTTGCGGGTGCATGTGCGTGTGTGTGTGCGTGTGTGTGTGTGCATGAGAAACTCCTGCTCACTGGAGCATTATAGAATGCATCATTAACTCTCTCATTTAAAACTTGCACTGAAAATTTGCTACATATTTCTCAGTTTCTTTTCCATTTGGCCAATGTTATTCGGTAAGGTAACTACATAACTACATTATTGAATTCTAGGAATCAATTTGGGAAGCAAACTTACACAAATGTAATAAGTAAATCAAGCTGAAGTGTAGCAACTTGTGTCAGAGCTTTCTAGCATTTGTGACAGAAATCATCAATAGATATTAGTGATCATATCTTGAGCAGAAGTCATTTGCAGGATACCATGTACCCTGTCATGTCCAGCAGTTTTAAAAACATGATTCCTGGTGTATAATACCTGTGTTTTACCCTGAAGATAAGGGTTCGTTTAAGGACCATAAATATGACGTGTCAACTCAGTGTCCTATCCAAGGACCAATCACTAGGAGCTGGGTCATCTAAAGTCACCTTCTTATACTTAATGGGCTGGCCTCATTTGGAGGCAGGCTTGGTGACCCTCTGCTTTGTGTGATTTGGAGAAAAACCTCCCATCCTGAACTGGCTCTCCTTTTCAGGTACTATCATGCCATAAATGCCAGTAATAGCTACTTTTTAAATCAATAGATTTTTTAAAGAAGTTTTGGGCCTACAGAAAAATTGAGCAGAAAATATGGAGAGTTCCTGTATATTCACTTAGCCCCTCATTTCCCATATCATTAACATATTGCATTAAGATGATAAATTTATGACAAATATATTTGTATATTATTAAACAAATAAACAATTGAAAATATTTTTACATTATAATTAACTAAAGTTCATAATTTACTTGAGGGTTCACTCTTCATGTTGTATAGTCCTGTGGGTTTTGACAACTGTATAAGGACATGTGCTCACCACCACAGTATCATACAGAATAGTTTCACGGCTCTAAAAATCCCCTGTGGTCCGCCTATTCATCCCTCTCCCTCTCTCCTCTTCAAGCCTCTGGCAATCACTCATCTTTTGACTGTCTCTCTAGTTTTGCCTTTTCCAGAATGTCGTACAGTTGGAACTACACAGTATGTAGCTTTTTTAGATTGGCTTCTTTCATTTAGCAATATGCATTTAAGATTCCTACATGTCTTTTTGTAGCTTGATAGCTCATTTCTTTTCTTTAATTTTAAACAATAAGGAATTTTATTATTTTATATAATTGATGTCCAGGGTTTGGACAAGCGCCAGGTACAGTACAATCTTTTGGCTCCATGATATCATTAAGGGTCCAGTTTCCTTCCATCGCTTCCCTCTGTCATTCTCTGTGAAATGGCTTTGCCCCAGGCTGGCTCCCTTCATGGCTAAAAAATTATTAGATCAGTTTCAAGTACATATCATGTTCATACATCTAAGAGAAAAAGAGATGGGACCATATCTTTCTTTTTTTTTTGTTTGTTTACTTTGTTTTCCCTTTTTTATTGTGGTAAAAGATAACATAAAATTTAACATTTTAACCATTTTTAAGTAAACGGTTCATTGGCATTAAGTATATTCACATTGTTGTACAACTGTTACTACTATCCGTCTTTAGAACTTTTTCATCATCTCAACCTAAAATTTTGTGATTCTTACTCATTGAACAATAAGTCCTCATTCCTCCTCATCCCAGCGCTTGGTAACAACTATTCTAGTTTCTGTCTCATAAATTTGACTACTCTAGGAACATCACATAAACGTAATCATACAGTCTCTGTCCTTTTGTGACTGGTTTATTTCACTTAGTGTAATGGTTTCAAGGTTCATCCATGTTTTGTATCAAAATTTCATTTCTTTTTAAGGCTAGATAAAATTCCATTGTATGTATATATCACATTTTGTTTATCTGCTCATCTGTAGATGGGCATTAATGTTGTTTCCAGATTTGCCGCTTGTGAAGAATGCTACTATGAACATTGGTATTAAAATATCTATTCGAGTCCATGCTTTCAATTCTTTGGATTATATACCTAGAAGTGGAATTGCTGGATCATATGATAATTCTATAATCTCACTGTTTTCCACAGTAGCTGCACCATTTTACTTTCCACCACCGATACACTCCATGTCCTTGCCAGTACTTCTCATTTTATGTTTTTGTCTGTCTGTTTGTTAAAATAGCCATTCTAACGGATATGAAGTGGTATATCATTCTGGATTTGATTTGCATTTTCCTAGTGATTAGTGAGTTGAGTATCTTTACATGTACTTATTGACCATTCATATATCATCTTTGGCTAAATGTTTATTCAAGTCTTCAGCTCTGTTTTGAGTTCAGTTTGGGTTTTTTTTTTATTCGTGTTGAGTTGAGGGAGTTGTTTATGTATTCTTGATATCAATCCCTTATGAGATATATGATTTATAAATATTTTCTTGCATTCTGTAGATTGCCTTTCCAGTTTCTTCACAGAGTCCTTAGATGCACAGAATTTTTTAATTTGGGTGAAATGCAACTTATATGTTTCTTCTTACTGTTGCCTATGTGCCAGTGTCATATTCAATAAATCAATGCCAGAGGGCCGGCTTGGTGGCATAGAGGTTAAGTTTGCACGTTCTGCTTCCGTGGCCCCGGGTTTGCAGGTTCAGATCCTGGGCACGGACATTTTCACCACTTATCAATCCACGCTTAGGCAGCAGCCCATATAGAAGAGCTACAACTCTACAACTATGATACAAACTATGTACTGGGGCTTTGGGGAGAAAAAAGTAAAAAGAGAAAGGCTGGCAACAAATGTTAGTGCAGGGCCAATCTTCCTCCAAAAAAAAAAGAAAAGAAATCAATGCCAAATCCCACGTCATAAAGCTTTCCCTTAAGATTTGTTCTGTTTTACATTGAATTTTATAGTTTTAGCTCTGATGTTTAGTTATTTGATCCATTTTGAGCTACTTTTTGTATATGGTGTAAGATAGGAATTCAGCTTCACTCTTACACGTGGGTATCCAGTTTTCCTAATATCATTTATTGAAAAGACCATCTATTCAATACAGCATGGTCTGTCAAAAAAATCATTTGACCCTATATGTGAGGGTTTACTCGTGAGCTTTCTACTCTATTCCATTGCTCTATGTGTCTGCCTTTATGCCAGCATTGCACTGTTATGATTATTATATCTTTGTAGTAAGTTTTGAAAACTGAAAGTGTGAT